TTGTAAGGCATCAAGTATCCTAACCGCCAGTCTATAAATCGACTATTACAATATTCATATACATGTTGGGCGGAGACTCCTTGTATAGATTCACTGATGGAATTCTACGAAGAGTAGACGGAAGCGTAGGTGCCTGGGCAAAATTCCCCCTCATAGCATGGCGTATATCCATCGCCATTAATGAATCAAGTATCCTCGTCGCCAGTCTATATATCAAGGGAGGGAGGGGAGTGGCCGAATGGTCAGCCCGTGTGCGCTGTATCATAAGGTCTTTCATTGAGTCAACTGGCGTGGTACGTGACAAGGAGTAGCGTCGCCCGTCCAACCCCGTGGGGTTTCGCCGGGTCTCCTACGCGCAAGCGAATTATTGAAATAAAATCGAACCATAGGTTAGTACCAAAATGGCTAAGTTTGTGTCGAGTGGAGACGTCACCCCCTCCCTCTCTCTCTCCCTCTCTCTCTCTCTATATATATATATATGTACACATTGGCTTGCACGTAAAAGATCCCTTGACAGTTGGAAATCGATGCAAGAATAGGCCAGAGTGCCGGTGCCCGGGTCAAATTTCCTTCATAGCGCACTGTATGGCGTATGCCCGTCTTCATTAGCCCAGTCAACGATTAAAATATTCATATACATGTCGTGCATCCATGTCTGAACCCGTGTGTAAATATAAAGTGACGTGTTTGTGGTTATTTTAGGATTGTTGTAGCCAGTGGGTAGGATGAAGTTCTAACATTTGCTGTGTAAATAAAGGTTTGTTAAATATCGTATAATGTGGGCTATTCACGGCATCAAGTAGGGGATTTACTAACAAACAAGAGAGAAAAACAAAACGTAAAAGGCAATCCAATTAAACGAAACACTTTTAATCTTTTTGACAAAATATATCTCTGTTGTATTTGTATAGTGCGGAGAGGAATATTTAATTAATTGTAGCGAATTACGTTTTATTTTATGCTTAAGAAGGAAAAGTCGTGATATTTTCGATGTGCAACATACCAGCAACGTACAACAGCGTACTAAAGCAGCACTTACAAAGCCAGAAGTCAAAGAGCCAGTGATAAAGTCTTTCACAAATACTTCCCCCATCCGCCAAAACAAACAAACGACAAGATGAAACTAAAAAAAAAAAAATCACGAAAACATTAGATAGAAGCTTGACATAGGCATTTTGCCTGTTCGATCTCCAAATATCTCCTACAAGAAAAACCCCAAAATAATATGGTAAAAAATAAAAGTCACAAAAATCCAACAAAGAATAAAGAAAACCAAACCGCAATAATAAGTCGTTTTATGTGATAATTTTATACAATTTCTTTGAGACGTTCACATATTTTGCTTGTTTTGTTACATCTATTCAGTTTGGGAGTAGAATTCAGCGGACATGATTTAAAGATACATTATGGGAGATTTTTATAGAGAGTTGGCCATTCTTGCTATAACAATTCAAAAGTAGATTATGAAAGAAGAATATATTGAAAAATTCAGTCAAATTACTTTATTCTGAACATAGTTATCATCGTTGTAATATTTGCCTAGAAATGGTAGCGAAATGTGTCTTCACCTTCGCTGATCGTTTGCTTGACAGGCGTTAACTCCACCTACATATCCCGATTATCAAGTAAAGTTTTCAATGGCATACCGAAACGCTTTACAGCGGCCTCGCTAAGTACACTCTATCATTTAGCCTCGATCTAACTGACGTATTTTCATCAGGTTACCCCTTATTTGATTTAATCAATTAGTGAAATCCTATTTAAATCCGAGCTGTAGCCGAGCCATCCGTGGGTCTACAGAGTTGATTTTGGTCTTGTTGTTTAAATAAAGATCTAATTTATAATTTCTATAACATCTGAAGCCTAAATTAAGACTTGAAATAATCAGATTTAGTTCTTGCATAATGCATGTTTAAGTAAACCAGTGTGTATCTCTTAACTATAACTATCTATGTCAGCATCTTACTAATACCATAATTATATGACGGGCGTTCGTGGCTAGGTGGATAAGACGCTGGCTCACTAGCCTGGAGGTCGGTTGTTCGATCCCTGCCTTTGGCCGAGAAAGTTCATCCAGATTTTCCGGAGTGGTTCCCCCTTGTCAGTGAGGCAGGACGGAGGGCCTGACAAGAACAGCTGTCTAGTCGTTCGGATGGGACGAAAAACCGAGGTCCCGTGTTCACATTGGAGTGCACGTAAAAGATACCTTGGTTGGAATTCGATATAAGATCCCCGGGCAAAATTTCCCTCAGAGCACACTGTATGGCGTATGCCCGTCTTCATTAGCCCAGTTTAGGAGCACAACAGTAGGACGTTAAACCCCATTTCATTTCATTTTTGTACACGAGGCAGAAGACGCTATCTTTTTTCAGGGGCAGCTTATTATATTACAACTATTTATATCATCGTTTTACTAATATATCTATGATTATATAATAATCTGCCAGTTATCAGTGAGTTATTAATATATATTACAGATATAATCCATGTTTATTATTGTAGTAATGTTATTTTATTATTGTTTAACATATATGTTATGACTTTGATGTATTAATGATAAATAATACTATGATAAACACATCACTCATCTTACTACTAAAATAATTTACGACGGTTGGGTGTATTCTATGAAGTAGTATTCGACTTATTACTTCAGGAAATGACTGAAACCTACATATTGTACAGCGTCTTATAATAAATTATCATTAATGTTGGCAATTGTTGTTATGAAATACTTCGGATGTTGTATATGTAGATGCTGTCGATACAACAACAAAAAAAAATCTCTCGCTGTTGTCAGATTTTTGAAGGTGTTTTCACGGTTGAAAGTTTCCAACCCTTAATCGGATCGTATTTTGTGCCATAATGAAGAAAACTCTATTATTTAAATTACAGCTTTTATATACGAGGGAGTCGTGGTGGCTCAGTGAGTAAGGCGTTCACTCGTTAACCTGGAGATTCCGCGTTCGATCCCTGAGTTGGTCGAAAAAGTTCATCAGGATTTTCCGGCGGGGTTCCTCCTTGTCAGTGGTGCAGTGGGCCAGGTATGGAACACTGGATAGTCTTTCGGAAGGGACGAAAAAAGAGGAGGTCCCGTGTACACATTAGCATGCACGTGAAAGAGTAAGATGTAAGAGCAGACTGTAGTGCCGCTGCCCGGGCACACTCACCCTCATATCTCACACTATATTGGAAGTTGGCACTGCATCGGCAAACAAAAACATTGGCGCCTCAATACACCGTTAAATTATATTCCATCATCACTAGTAAGTTATAGACTATTTTATTATCAGAGATTGTAATCTTATATGAGTTACATACTCAACAATCATATGGTTACACTTTACCTTACTCATTTTATACATGTCTAGAATAATATCATTCTGCAGTGTCTATTGTGATAACATGGCTATAATAACACCACTCTATCAATAAAACGATGCTTCAGTTGTAATAACAAGAAACTAAGTTGAATGAATAATATTATTTTAGTTCAGGTATTCACCTGTTATTCATATGAATTGATCTGAATAAATTTTAAAGAAGCGGCCATACCAATATATTTTTACTGATACATCATCTTAGATTCTCTGTACATGTATGTCACGAGGTGAGTCATCTATGCAAAGTTTTAGTTCTATCTCATGACTGTGTGTGACCAGAAGTAGTGTGGCCTACTTAACCTCGACGGTGGTTCCAGGTTCCTACCCTCGGTTGCCGAAATAACAAAAAAATAAATAAAATAAACCAACCCCTGAGTGGACACCCCAGCCACCTCTTTTCTCCTTATCCTGTGAGTCGCGGTGGTCCGGTGAGTAAGACGTTGGCTCGCTAACCTGGAGTTCCGATGTTCGACCCCCGTGGCTGAGAAATGAAATGAAATGAAATGGAGTTTAACGTCCTACTGTTCTGCTCCTAACCTGGACTAATGAAGACGGGCATACGCCATACAGTGTGCAATAAGGGAAATTTTGCCCGGACAGCGGCACTATGGCTTACAATTATAACGAATTCCAACTGCCAAGGGACCTTTTACGCGCACGTCAATGTATACACGGGACCTCGTTTTTTCGTTCCATCCGAACGACTAGACAGCTCTCCTTGTCAGGCCCGCCGTGTAGGACAAAGAACAGTGTCTAGTAGGATTAAGAGACGTCCCGTGTACACGTACAACACCCCTGGGCAGTTGGAATTTGATGAAGAGTACAAAAGCACCAAGGTTATTAGCCAGATTGGTGCAGAACAGTAGGCCCTTCAACTCCATTTCATTTCATTTTGTAATTGATGTTCTCATTGCACATGGAACGAATTGTCCCAACCCAGACACATGATTGTTCTATAACACTAACATCGCGCTCAAATACATCTACTGCTTTGTTGGTCTTTGATTTACTTTTGAAAGCTATGATAAAGCTTGTCAGCTAGATCTATAGATGTTTTATATACAAACAGCTATTGCACCTAAACAACCCATGACCTAAGTCTAGGCTCTAAATTGTACCTGTTACACATCCACCCATAACACACCCACCCATTGCACATGCCGCATCATTGCCAAGCCTTCCATTGCATCAACCCTCCCTAATCCATGCACATATTGCCAATCCCCGCCATTGGAACATGCCCATTGCACATCCTACACCATTGCACCCCTCCCCATTGCACATGCATTGCCCATGGCATATATTGCGTATTGCACATCCCTCCCCGTTCCATGCCCACATATTGCCCATCCTCCCCATTGGAAACATGCCCATTGCACATCCTACACCATTGCACCCCCTCCCCTTTGCACATCCCGTCGGCAGAAGTAGTAGCAAGCGAAGATAACTTTAGTTCTATTTCTGTCCCGGAAGCTTATTGACAAAAACATATTTTAAGAATGTGGCCAAGAGCTATGATCTATAAAAGGATATTACCTATCATAATAAACGTGCTTCATTCTTAAAATATTTCATCTGTTACTTTTCTGGTTTTAATTATCAAAAACTAAATCAAAATTATAACAAAACAGGTGATTTTTATTTAAAAACAATTTAGTATAAAATTTAAAATATCTACAATAATTATGTACAAATAAAATCTATTAGAATATTCTACTAAATTAAAACCGAAAGCCCACGTTTCCTTATTTAACATATTGTGCATACAACTTAATAATTCAACAAATATACTAAAAACACAGAATCTCATGTTTAGAACATCTGCAAGGTCCAAAACGTCATTTCCACTAAGGGGAGGAAAGCTTGAATGAGATATAAGGGGACTTTTAATATTTTGGGGTTTCGAGAGTTCTTCCTACTTTTGAACTAAACAAGTTCAAATTTTACTTAAAACGAAAAATGCCCAGACCAGGGTGTGGGCCATAAGCAGGAAATAAAAAGGGCGTAGCACCACACCTAGATTCATACCGTAGATATATTGTCTATCTATACATAGTGTTTATAGTTAAAGCATGTTCATATATTAATATAATATGTCTATCTATACATAGTGTTTATAGTTAAAGCATGTTCATATATTAATATAAATAAAAGATATGTTTAAATGCTAGTACCTTTTAATTGTGAGCAAGCAAAACGCTATTTCATACATTTTTGTCATTAAACACATATTTTAGAAGCTGTTTTATGGCCTTTGATCATCGCATTGGTCTACAAATAGAACATCGTATAGTTCCAATATTTTGTATAGTATGGAATATTCTTTAATGTTTCTTTCTCGGGAACAATATTTAGTTTTTATTTGTATTTTGTTTTAACACTGTTAGGAATTCTCGGCTACACAAAAGCCATCAAATAACAAAAAATGAAAGGTCAAAAAGCACACATCACCAGTTTCTCAGCATTCCTCAAATCAAGTTCTCGCACGATCTCAAAATTTGCAATAAACACACACAATTATTAAAAGTTTATAATCGTTGAATGGGTAGAATCCTTTCTCTAGGTGCCTCGACGGCGTCAGGAGCAGGTGCTTCGATATTGAGTACCCCATCCTTCGAGAGAATGGAGTTAAGTTTTAAGGGGTCGATCTTGTTGGGGAGGACGTATTGTTTACTGAATTCCCTGTAGACCTTACGTCCTGGAGATTCTTCAGTGTGCTTGGCGTGAATCATCAGCTTGTTGTCCATGGTTTTCACGGAGATTTCCTCTGGTTTGAACTGACTGACATCAAAACGAATGGAGAGTTTTTTGTTACCGTCCATGTCCGTGACGAATGGTTTGTCGACTTGAATCAGGTTACTGTTCATATTTCCGAATCCGGCGGAATTTTCAAGTTTGCTCATCTCGGATTTCATTAAGTCCATCCCGGATCCCATCTTTCCGAAATCCATGCCAGATCCCATCTTTCCGAAATCCATGTCGGTTCCAAAATTTCCGAAATCTGCTCCAGAAGTGAGCTGACCCATTCCAGAGTCAGTGGGAGTCAATGTAAACATTTCTTTACGGATTCGTTCCAGTTCCATGTCGAAATCCTTCCATTCCTTTTCCATATCTTTATTCATCGATGAGAATATCGATCTCTGTCGATCGAAGAAACTCCATTCTTCCCGCTTTATTGGAACCAAACGTGAGGAGGCCATCTTTGTCTGTTTGCTTTTCAATGAAATACAAAATAAAACTTCAAAATTCGTCTGCGATTTAAAATATCGTCTGCTATTGATCCGACCTTGAGGAATCTGGTGAACGTCTGCTTCTCAGTAAACCAGTGTATATATCTGTGACGTCAGCGTGTAAACGAAGCTGTACCGTGGCTTGTAAATTCCGCCTTCTTCAAACGATTTATCAAATGTCAGAAACACAGGTAAACTTATGGTCTGCCCAACTATCTCGTGCCAGATTATCGTCTGCTAATGTCGAACTATATTATCGTCTGCTAGCACGTGGAATCTTCAAACGTAAATTATTATTTCTCTAGAAAATTAACATACACCAGTGTGGGATATCACCGTCTGCTATTATCGTGGTATGATTCTGTCGTCTGGTTAGAATGGTTTTTCGCGCCTATTTATATCCACCGCGCGCACCGATGAACACATACACGTGGTATTTGGTGGAGTATTTATTCTATAAGATGGTGAATTATTAAATACCAGTAAAATGAATCACCATAGCAATAGAATTAATCAACCACAGTGAGAATTTCTACAAAACAAATAACATGTATGGTGCGTTCAACATCCAAACAAATAGGGCGGATCTAAATATAATTTTGAAAAAAAAAGCCAATTCGAAGGAAAGTCTGCATGTCGGGTTGCAAACGATAATAAAGGATGGTTTATAAATCGTATGTAAACACAGTCAATATAACCTTTTGGCATCATTTGTGACGAGATAAAACGCTAATCTTATTCAAGCCTTGCTGTTCATGTACAGTGGTGAGGTCGCTAGCTTTCTTGACTCGGTTCGAATCCCAGGATGGGTGAATGAGATGAGATCATCCCGGAAGGCCCGCATTAGTCACATGGTGGGGTATTATGGTTAGATCTAATTCTAAAGGACACCTCCAGATTTGGTCAATGGTCACGAGATGTATACAGGACTAGTGTTAACCCTAACCCTGGACCTAGCCCAAACCCAAAACCCTAATCTACAATCTCGTCAACAATCGCGTGCCCTAACCTTATTTACATCTCAGCAACCTTGCCGAAATCTTAAAGTGGACTAAAGAAATAGATTTATGCGGGATTCAGTAGACTATAGAATGCCTGCCCATTGTTCGCCCACCCCCCCTCTAAAGCAGATTAGGTGGGACGCCAGTATCCGGGCACAATTTACCATATATCGTATTGCACACATAACCAGAGTAATGAAAATGAATGTGAAAAATTGAAAAATGAAATGGATTTTAACGTCGAGAGAGAGAGAGAGAGAGATACCTTTTGATACAACGCGCACGTGCTAACCATTCGGCCATCCAACCACAAGAAAATCCCATTATGGACACGTGTATAAAAGGCAGCGTCACGTTAATGGCATACCTATGTATATAAGGGAAAGTCCCTTTAAGGGCATTTGCATAAAAGGGAAAGTCCATTTAAGGCACTTGCATAAAATTAAAAGGCCCATTAGATAAGTGTAAAAGAGAAAGTGCCATTAAGGGCATATGTATTAAAGGGAAAGTCCTATTAAAGGCACGTGTACAAACGGGAACATTTCATTAAAGGGCACAAGTATAAAAGGGGAATTCGCATTATATGTGTATAAAAGGGAAAATCCCAGTAATGTATAAAAGGTAATGTCCATTTAAGGACACGTGTATAAAAGGGAAAATCCCATTATATATGTGTAAAAGGGAAAATCCCCGTAATGTATAAAAGGTAAAGTCCTTTTAAGGACACGTGTATAAAAGGGAAAATCCCATTATAGTGTAAAAGGAAAAATCCCAGTAATGTATAAAAGGTAAAACCCATTTAAGGACACATGCATAAAAGGGAAAATCCATTTAAGGACACGTCATGTATAAAAGGGAAAATTCCATTATATATGTGTAAAAGGGGAATTGTATAATTATTCAATATCATGGCCCTTTAATAACGTTCGTCTCAGAATTTAAATAATGCGAGTAAATATTTGTTTTTGTATTTAATAGTACATACTGTAAAATGTAAATACGATGCAAATTAAAACATAAACAAATAAATGAAATAAAAAACCTAAAAAAAAAACTTAATCAAGTCTCGACAAAAATAAAAATAGAATTCTTTGGTCTAATTTCTCAAAAGCGTAACTTAAAATCATAGCGGCAATAATTCTAGAAAAAGTAAATACAAGCAGAAACACACACAAAAACAAATTCTAACGGCAAATAGTTTTGATATTGAGAAGGGGGTTTGGATGGTCTAGTTGTTTAACGCTTGCGCGTTGGATCATAAGGTCTGCCATAGAGTCAAGTGGTGTAGTTTCGATTCCCCGCTTGTACGTGACAAGGAGTAGAGTCGCCTGTCCAACCCCGTGGGTTTTGCCCGGGTCCTCTATGCGCAAGCGAAATATTGAAATAAAATAGCACTATATTTAGTCCCGAAATGACCTAGTTTGTGTCGAGGTGACGTTAACCCCCATTTTTTCTCTTTGTGATATTGGGAAAGAAAGTTTATAGACAAGGGGGAAGCCTCTGTTGAACTAACCCGTTTAAAGGTGAATTCTCGGGCTTAAAGATTTAATAACCAAATTAGTAATAAAGTTGTATTATGTAAGAACTAAATCTGCCTATTAGAGGTTTTTATATTGGCTTGTAATGTTATATCAACTAATATATAAACATTCATTAACATACCAAGCTTATAATCAACTCCCTAGGCTACCGGATGGTTCCGATTTTAAGTAGATTAGAACTCTTTGGTCATTTAATGATTTAATTTAAAAATAGATCGATAAGCGATGTCAAGTCTCGAATAACAAGTACCGTTGTTACGATAATAAACAATCAATGCACGCATCTTTTCAAAACTACTGATTTCTTCGTTAAGAATGAGGTAATTTGACTAAAATTTTCAACATATTCCCTTTGCATGATCTAATTTTTAATTATCATAGCGAGAACTACAATCTCCGTATCTAAATCTAACATAACGTATCTTTAGTCAAATAGTAATGCTACCCCTATAAAAAATTTTACCGTCGTTTCTAAACGACTCTTTTTTTGACTAGAAACTCTCAGACACACCTTGTCTTTATTTTGAAACTTAATGAAATGGGGTTTAATGTCCTACTGTTCTGTCCCGACTGGGCTAATAAGCGAAATTTTACCCGGACAGCGACACTACGGACTACTCTTATATCCAATTCCAATTGCTCAAGGGATCTATTACGTGTTCGCCAATTATTGTGTACACGGGACCTCGGTTTTTTGTCCCATCCAAACGACTAGACAATTGTCCTTGTCAGGCCCCTGTTCAACACCACTGATGAGGGAAACTTAAACAAATTAATTGAGAGTTTATGAATATGATTAAAACATCGAATTTGTAAATGGGACATTAAGAATATGACGACGATAAAAACCGTTTAGTAAGTGATTATATGTTTGTAGTCTGAAATATTATTAAACAATAAACTGTGTAAATGTCGTCAGCAGAATATTTCATTGAGGATGAAAAACTAAAACTTTCCAAAAATTACGCTTCTCCTGTCGTAGCCTAATACTTTTTCCCATAACTTTAGCCCTCCCCCAACTCCCTTCACTTGATTACACCGTTCCTAGTGGAACGGTATTATTATCCATCCTGATCAAGGGATAATTTTTATGTGGTCTGATCCCAACCATGCGGAATTGTTATCCCCCCTACCCATTCTTCAAAAAACGAGTCGCGTTTGATATCTTAAATATAGGTGTTGTTATCAAGACGGAATTTCCAAAAGAATCATAATAAAAAAATTGTCTGGATAATCGAATTTTATATTCTGTAAACAACGTGTTCCGGTTTTCTATTTTTGTGTTGTAAGTTTGTCTAGAAAAAAGTTAATTACTAAAATCTTATAGAAATTTCTTCTTAAAAAAATAAGGGAGGAACTAATTAAAGAAGTGGTTTATGTTCATTTACAATTATGAAATTTCACGTTTGGATGGAATGGCCTTCCCGAGGAGGAAAGATGCTGATAAGTTGTTCTGGGTCGATTTTTGTGAAGGGTGACTAAAAAAAAAAAAGAAAAAAAAAGCTGTCATTCAGCCTAACAAAGTATCTTGGAAACGTAACTTTAAAATTGGACTAACGAACATAGAAAGGATGAACGGAATATTCGACTAGCATTGTCATGATTATTTTGATAATAATGCCTGCCTAAATGACAGGGGAATTGAATAATAGTCATTCGGATGGTATAAAAACACCAAATGCCACACATTGACATTTGTACACAATAGGCATAGCAGACATGTACATATACCCCTGACTGTTGGATCTTTGAACAAGCAGGAACACTGCTGTCTGACAGGGAAAAATCCCCTTCCAATTGCATACATGTACATGATTGACATACATAGCATAGAAATAAGGATTACCATACATGTAGCATATGTGTTTATCGCAAAATGACAGTAGAATTATGTTGGCTAGGAATCTAAACTAATTTTAATCCATTCGCTCCATATCAAGAAACAGATGAATAATATCATCTTGTGGGACATTTTGCTACAGAATAAAATCCACAACATTTATGAGCTGAGTTTCTTGACCACCTGGTCCCCTCCCCCACTCTACCTCCCAATTTTAAATCATTTTGAGATTCAAAATTTTGTACCTTTTCAGCTTACGGGTATATAAAGAGAAAGAAAAGGAGGGTTTAACTTGAATTATCTGGTTTTATCAACACCAGGTGGTGTAAACTAATGATGTTTGGTAAATGAAGAGGTTGTGAATCATATTAAAAGTCAGGATGAGTTGTCTTGAACAACAAGAGGTATATTTAATTTAATCCTAAATTTAAAATATATGAAAGTTAATAAAAGGTGTATTATCACTAATGTCCTGAAACTATGGACACCAATAAATGTAAGTCTCCATTATCCAATGTATATTTTATTGTTCGGGTGAGGGGTAGGATCAAATTATTGAATAGGGATCATGTTTTAATACATTTTAATCTCTGCCATCATAAGGTCTAGAGAGCTGATTATGTGAATAAATGTTTAAATAGTAATTTATATAATATAAACCTGCAATAGGCAGATTTAGGTCTTAAATAATGTATCTTTCATTATACATACATGTACAGCTTACAATTGGTCTAAAAGTAAAATACATTAACCTTGCATTATTAATTAAAGATACATTATGGGAGATTAGATAAAGAGATGGCAGTTCTCACTATAATAGTTAAAAACTAGGTAGTGTAAAGTTAATTTGCTGAAAATTTCAGTCAAATTGATCCACTATGAGCCGAGAAAGAAGCGGGTGAAATTTTTGCATAGTCTCGATCATCATTACTAAAATCATTAATATAAACAGCATAGTCTCGATTATCCACTTTTTTAATTTAATTATCAATGGCCGTTACCGGCAGATAGGAATCTAATCCAGCCAACATCGAAGGCTAGCCTTGACATCGAGAATTTATTATGGTCTGGATAGGTTAATTAATGTCTAATTAATAGTTTATATAACATTTCAGGCCTAAAGAAAGACTTGTAATAAGCAGATTTTGCTCTTGCATAATGTATGTTTAAATTAATGGTTTGAAACCACATCTATTTTTATATTTTTTAATTTGCTTCTGTACAGGAGGAGATTGAAGTATTAGAATCTATTTATGATGGGGATGAGAATTTTAAAAAAGTCAACACAACTACGTATCAATACAAGGTTAGTCTTTATGGAGGCTACTAAATTACAGAGAGAGAGGGGGAGGAGAGAGATAATGTCCGCTCAACACAAACTAGGCTATATGTAGGGTGACCCACCATAAATAAATATCTCCATATATCTCGACAATTTCGCCACAATATTTATATATATGCCAAGCCTCAAATCAGTTTCACACAATTATAGTCACTAAATAAACGATCATGTTGTACTTAATAAGCTATGACCATTAATCATCTATAAATAATAGACTGAAAACTGGTTCCATGTGTCGTCCATAACATCCAGACACTTTTGAGTAAAAGATAGGTTACGTGCCCTTGTTTTGAAATTAGTCTCGCTTAACCAGTCTATCGACCATTCTAGGACTGATTGACAGGTCGGGATAATCAAGACTACTTTTTTACGAAACATAACAGAAAGCTAGAACAAGAAATTGAATTTAGAAATGAGCACGTTAGCTAGCTCAACAATTGTTTTAAGAAGCTTGTAAAAGTAAAATGAAACTACTGCTAGTATCATGTTCCTGTCTAACCCGAGTGTTTCTGAGATATTATTTGTACTAAACCAAAAAATGCCGCTCTTAACGGTACAGTTAATGATAAAGCGATTTAAAAAATGAAACGAACGTAATTTCTAAATCTGCTGTAATAACCAAGAAGCTTAATTTCACTGCTATTCAAAATCGTCAACAATAATTTTTTTACGGCTGTAATAGTTGATAGATTTGTAGAGAATTGCACGTGCCATGGCTATTTATAGTATCATACTGTCAGAAAGTTGGCCTCGACACGGCGAATGTGCACGCTTCAGTGGTAGTCTCGAACTATCAGCGGTGGACTGTATTTCTGTAGGTGCGTGGGCCACCCTACTATATGTTATGATTTTATTTCTGTGTACAGGTCTTTAGCAGTGGGAGGAAACCAGGCTATCAATTATTCGCTAGCGCGTAGATGTCTTTAGCAGTGGGAGGAAACCAGGCTATCAATTATTCGCTAGCGCGTAGATGTCTTTAGCAGTGGGAGGAAACCGAAGAACCTGAAGAAAACCCACAGGGTTGGACAGGTGACTCTGAATGACAGAGGGAGGAAACCAGACTCTCTATGACAGACTGTTCTATCTAAAGTGCACGCGTTAGACTCCCACAACCACTTACAAAATGAGAAGTGGTATGATGTGCTCTGTGAAATTTAAGTAAACCTCGGGCTAAATAGAACTTTAGACTGTACTTGAATATTGGAAGGAGTCATTTGGTACACTCAAAGAGCAGACAGTTTGCAGCGGAGTTGGCTGAGGGGGGTTGAATGGCCGAATGTTTAGCACGTCCGCGCTGTTTCACAAGATCTGTCACTGAGTCGACTGGCGTGGTTTCGAGACCTGGTTGTACGTGACAAGGAGTAGGGTCACCTGTCTAACCTCGTGGGTTTTCTCTGCGTCCTCCGGTTTTCTCCCACTGCTTAAGACTCCTACGCACAAGCGAATTATTGAAATAAAATTGAACCATATATGCTAGTCCCGAAATGACCTAATTTGTCTCGAGTGGTCGTTAAACCCATTCCTTGTATTTAAAGAGAGAAATGGGGTTTAACCTTCATTTGACACAAACTAGGTCATTTAGAGACTAACATGTGGAACAATTTTATTTTAAATTATCGCTTGCTAGTAGGGGTCTTTACTAGAGGGAGGAAACTGGAAGATCTGAAGAAAACCTACTCTTACTCCTTGTCACGGATTAGCTCAGAATCGAAACCACGCCACTTGCCTCAATGACACACATTGTGATTTAAAGCGGAAATTTCAAATTTTTAAGTTATATTTTTAAAATTTATTAAAATAAAGCCTTAAAATAGATGGTATCCATAAACAGTCCTACCTTGTTAATTAAAGAATAATCCTATTAATCCTATAATTCGCTATTGCCAGCTGAGAAATTGGCAAAAATATCATTTTTCACTTCAAATTCCAACGTTGAGGAAATGGCTGACCATTGTTTTCAATAGGAAAACAATGGAGGTAATTGTGTTGTTATTTCCTGTGTAAATGAGATTTAAGTGTGAGAATGACACCTATGATCGTATAATAGTGAGTTGATAACCTATTGAGCAAAAGACATAGAAATAATTATGTTTTGACTTTCTTAGAAAATATGAAATTCTTGCTTTAAGGTGGACACGTTCAACCACACGACCACCCAGCCCCACTTATGTTTAAATAAAATATGAAATTTGAAATCTTTATTTGGTATGAAAGACAGTAAATATGAGAGTATATTTTTTACGTTTTTTATTACAGTATGGAGCAGACGGGGATCACAGATCCTTTATGATAGAGATAAAATGGGGTGAGAATTACCCAGAATCTTCCCCTGATATAAATCTAGATCTTTTCTACAATAAACACATGTAAGTTATCGTTCCCCTCGTGCACACACTGTTGCTTGAATTTATCTATTTATTATTTGGAATTTGATTGAAGTAGTATTGCCTACCCAACCTCACATTTTTTCTCCGGATCCTCCAAGTTTCATTCCACAGCTAAAGACCTCTTACGTGCAAGCAAATTATTGAAATTAAATAGTTAAATCCTGGAATGGCCCAGTTTGTGTTGAGTGGCAGTTAAACACTTATTTCTCTGATATTTTCCAACACCTTACCAACTTGTTATCTTGTTATGTCTGCTGCAATTATGTCCTTTCAATCATTCGTACAAACAGCCACTCTTTTTAAGCAACATCTCTTTGCAAGCAGCTCCCTAAAATACCCCCAGTAGGATTTCATTGGTTTCATCCATTCCATAAAAAATCACTTGTCTAAGGGGGGTTGGATCGCCAAATGGTTAGCATGTGTGTTGTATCATAAGGTATGTCATTGTGTCAACTGGCCTGGTTTCGATTCCCAGGTTGTATGTGAAAAGCAGTAGGGTCCCCTATCCAACCTCGTGGGTTTACTATGGGTCCATCCAGTTTTCTCTCACTGATAAAGACCCCTATGTGCAAATGAATAATTGAAATAAAATTGAAATCTATGTTAGTCCCGAAATGACCTTTTTTTGTGTGGACTGAACGTCTCTCTCTCTCTCTCTCTCTCTCTCTCTCTCTCTCTCCTCTATAGCAATCAGTGATCTCTGTTCATGTTATAAATTTAACGAAACAACGCCAAATTAACTTCCCTTGTTGATAACATCCTGTCATGTCCCCTCTGCCAATCCTGTAATTAACATTTAATCATCTAGTAGATTTTATTACTAGGTCACTCTCCTTAAGCGGTCAGTCATAATAATTCCCTTGAATTTACAAGTACTGACTCAATCAAACAATAATTAAAGTTAAATTTGATGGTTTTTTTTAGTGTAAAACACCTCAAAATAAAAAATTTATTGGCTTATTTGTCATATTCATTCATGTTTTTAGTTATAATTTTGTCAAGTGAAAACCTTGGTCAAATATAATTTGTCAAGTGTTACTATGGTTATTATGGTATATATTTCAGATTAGAGGAAGTAAAAACTACGATAATGAGCCACCTCAAACAGCAAGTAAATATAACATACTTAATTTTTTCTGTTGGATGGCCGAATGGTTAGCATGTGCGCACTGTATCGTAAGGTCTGCCATTGAGTCAACTGATGTGATTTCGAATCTCGGGTACTTTGAGTTTTCTCTGGTTTCCTCCCACTGCTACAGATGCCTACGCGCAAGCGATTTATTGAAATAAAATTGAACCATGCGTTAGTCCCAAAATGGCCTAGTTTGTGTCGAGTGGACTTTAAACCCCATTTCTCTCTTTCTTATAGTGATATGGCTTCACTCAAAATCAAAAAGAAAAATTGAGTGTCATGTGGTTAAATAGACTCACAATAAAATATCCCTAATTCAAATCATGGCAATGATGGACATAAACTTGGGGCAGTTTGTTTCTCAAAACACATTTCCGATCCGTGACTTCTCTACACTGAGCGATATAATGATAGGTCAACTAAATATTAACTGGAAAGTTTCAATCTGATTAAAATACAGATCTATATTTCGTTTCCTTTGTTTATTTTTTTGATGGCCTCCACTACATGAAGATCTGACCGGTTATAGGAAAAGATAGCATCAGAGGTCCTCCGAACGGCTTTTGACCCTTTGACGTCAGACATTGATTAATCAATCAGCTTTGACGTTTCTAGGGGTTTATCCACAGTTCCATGCACCTCATGCCAAAAACTCGCTGTAACAAACCATTTTATTGACTAATCCCTGACATCATCCAGAACGTGGGTTATATAACAACTCTTCCAGATCCTAGTGCAGTCAAGACAATTAAATCGAAATTTTGAACTATAAAAAAACGAAATGAAATAGGATCTGTGTTTTAATCAGATTGTTATGGTAGCTTGATTCTACAAGTAAGACCAAAGCAATTTAAATTTTAGTTTTTCGTGGTCTTGATAAGAAAAATAAGCCTCTCATGTTTCTAAACTTGAACTAGCAGCTTTTTACTATAACAACCAAGTATTTTTGTATCTAAATTAGTATTTTTATGAAGAAATCAGAAGTAAAATTTAATAGGTGTTCTTGAAGAATGAAAATTCAAATTGGATTGGTCTATATTATGAAGAGAAATTACTTACGACATCTATGATGTTTTTATAGGTGGAGGATTTATTAGGTACCTGTATGACTTATTCGTTATTTGATTCTGTGAAGGATAATCTGGACTCCTTAATATCTGATCAACCAGACACTCCAACAGTTATCCAGGTTAGTCTCTTTAAACTCTGCACTTGGTTTTTTTTGTTTTTTTCCTCGGGGGAGTGTGGTTTCCCCCTTGTCAGGGATGCAGGATGGAGGGCCTGGTAAGCAACTGGGTCTAGTTATTCAGATGGTCCAAAAAACGGACACACATTTAAAGATCAGTTAGCAATTGGAACACGATAAAGAATAGATGGTAATCCGACTGTCCAGACAAAATTTCTCCGTAGGGCAAAACAAGGCATATATCCGGCTTCATTAGCCTATTTATTTTCTAGGTATTAATAGGTACAGAATTACATCACAGTTTGGAAATTGATAGCTTTTTTTAGAAGTTGCACTGGGAATTGAAATGAGGTTTAACGTCCTACTGTTCTGCACCATACATTCGGTGTGCTGTGAGGGAAATTTTGCCCGGACAGCAGTTGTACTGGAAACTACTGATGAAGTGATTGGAGTTACTCCCTCAATCGAAAGTAGTAGGATATTTTTGGCACATTTCTCTGCCCGAGCAAAATTTCTCTCATAGCACATTGCATGGCATATGCCCGTCTTCATTAGCCCAGTCGGAGCAGAACAGTGGGACGTTAAACCCCATTTGATTTCATTTCCTTCCATTTCTGATTTGTAGACAAAGAAAGCAGGACTTTAAACCCCATTTCATTTTATTTCTGATTTGTAGATAGAGAAAGTAGATCATGGAGTTACTTCCCCTGAAGATGCTCCAAAGAAAAAAGAGAAAAAAGAACAGTTAACAAAAGCCCAAAAGCGGAGAATAATGGATAAATTTGGTTCAGAGACTGATCGGCCGAGAGGCTGGGATTGGGTGGACGTTGTTAAACATTTATCACAGACAGGTGGCAAACATTCCTAGCAGACGTCAGATTGTCTAGGCATAATTAACATTTTATAATTTAAATATCATCTAGGCAATATTGTAAATATGTGATTGGATAAAACCGATGTTAATACACTATGTTATGATGAATGAAATTATGGGCTGGGGATAAGATGTGCTGGGGATAAGGAAAATTGAAATGAAACGAAGATGTTGAAACCGATTTGAAATAATATCTGGGTTCTAGTTTAATTAAACAGCATTATGTGAGAGCTAATAGGCTTTCCTGAAGAACAAGAATTCATTTTGAGGTGGCCTTAATGCTGGACCGGATTTAAACATAAAAATTAAACATACATTATACAACAGCTAAATCTGCTTATTGCAGGTCTTTCTTTAGGCCTGAAATGTTATATAAATTATTAATTAGACATTTATTAACATGACAATGAGTCAAATATATAAAGAAATTATAACAACATAATTGCCTCATATCTGTATTAGTGCATTAGCTTGATAACGTTGAGAGAAACAGGGTCGAAATGTTGCCTTAAATACAGTAATAGCTGTTTACAATAAGTATGTGTTTTTACTCTATCCAGTTGAAACGTCACCTTAAAGGGACAATAACACTCTTGCTGGCTTGAAAGCTCCAGAAAATAAATAATATCTCTATCTAAGTACTAGATGTTTAAGTGTCCTACCTGTTGTGTAAATTATCCATTACATCCTATTTTACTTGCCCAGAGGGTTCGAAAATATTATAAAATCGAAGTTTCATTTGAAAAGGTTTACGTTAGACGTTTCAAACCATTATGTTGAATTTTTCAAAATTTTTAAATAAGGTGTGTTAAGATGAAATTTGTATCATCAATTAATTGAAATATTCTAAAATAGCACAATTTGTTGACCAGAATAAAGATTGGGACATATTATTCAGTTACAACAAGAGTGGTATTGAGCCTTTAAAGTTACAATTTCATATTGTTAAGTTATATTTTTAAAATGTATTAAAATAAATCCCTAAAATAGATGGTATCTATAAACAGTCCTACCCTGTTAAAGAATAATCCTATTAATCCTATAATTCACTATTGCCAGTTGAGAAATTGGCAAAAATATCATTTTCAACTTCAAATTCAAACGTTTGAAGATAGCTATTCCATGGTGGGGAATAGGGAAACAAGGGAGGTAATTGGGAGGTAATTGTGTTATTATTTCCGGTGTGAAGATTTTTAAGTGTGAGAATGACACCTATGATTGTATAATAATGAGTTGACAACCTATTGAGCAAAAGACATAGAAATAATTATGTTTTGACTTCCCTAGAAAATATGAAATTGTAACTTTAAATACAGTAACAGCCGTTTTTAATTATGTACTTATCTTTAAAGTTTCTGATCATTTATATCGTCCACAGACGAGGCTGAATGTTGCAAAATTTTCAGTTCAACATATCTTAGTAAATACTGAAAGGAGTTGAACCATTTTTGGACCAATATTCCATTCAGAGGTTCAACTTTTGTGGTTTTTAAGAGCTTCCTGAATTCCTTAATTTACATGTATATAGATGTTTAAATAAAATATTTCCATTGAATTCTTCGCTGTATCAAATATATATATTATGTTGCCAAGCAACAAAATTTATAGCCACCAGAAACTTTGTTGACTACACTGTAAAATGGGTGAAAGGAAACAAAGGGGTCACAGTGTGTTGTTTACACAAAAAATGAGGATCTAAAGACAACAAATCTGAACTGTTCACATGGTTCTGATGTGGTATTCACTGCATAAACGCTGTAGTCAATGGGTTAAACTAAATATGAAGAATTCTAAATATTTTAGTTGCCCAAATACCCCTGTACTTAATTTGTGTCATCCCTACAGTATACACATCTCTACAGTAAACACACCTCTACAGTATACACATCCCTACAGTATACACATCTCTACAGTATACACATCTCTATAGTGTACACACCTCTACAGTGTACACATCTCTACAGTATACACATCTCTACAGTATACACATCTCTACAGTATACACATCTCTATAGTATATACATCTCTAAAGTATACACATCTCTACATTACACACATCTCTACAGTATACACACCTCTACAATATACACATCCCTACAGTGTACACATCTCTACAGTATACACATCCCTACAGTATACACATCTCTACATGGCACACATCCCTACAGTGTACACATCTCTACAGTATACACATCCCTACAGTGTACACATCTCTACAATATACACATCCCTACAGTATACACATCCCTACAGTGTACACATCTCTACAGTATACACACCTCTACAGTATACACATCTCTACAATATACACATCTCTACAGTATACACATCCCTACAGTGTACACATACCTACAGTGTACACACCTCTACAGTGTACACATCTCTACAGTATACACATCTCTACATGGCACACATCCCTACAGTGTACACATCTCTACAATATACACATCCCTACAGTATACACATCCCTACAGTGTACACACTTCTACATGGTACACACCTCTACAGTGTACACATCTCTACAGTATACACATCTCTACTGTGTACACATCTCTACAGTGTACACATCCCTACAGTGTACACATCCCTACAGTATACACATCTCTACAATATACACATCTCTACAGTATACACATCTCTACAGTATACACATCTCTACAGTTTACACATCTCTACAGTGTACATATCTCTATAGTATACACACCTCTACAGTATACATATCTCTACAGTATACACATCTCTACAGTATACACATCTCTACAGTATACACATCTCTACAGTATACACACCTCTACAGTATACACATCTCTACAGTATACACATCTCTACAGTATACACACCTTTACAGTATACACATCTCTACAATATACACATCTCTACAATATACACATCTCTACAGTATACACATCTCTACAGTTTACACATCTATATAGTATATACATATCGTACACATAAGTGTAGGCTACATATCTGGACAAATTTCCCACATATCCCACTGCACTGCGTATGCCCGTCTTCATTAGCCCAGATGGGGCAGAAAAGTAGGACGTTAAACCCTATTTCTTTAATTCCATTCTTACCTTAATACACACCCTAGCGACGTTCATTCACAGTTTTTGAAGTCGGCCCGCTTGTACGTGACAAGGAGCAGGGTCGCCTGGCCGTGGGTTTTTTCCGGGTCTTCCTGTTTCATCCTACTGTTAAAACGCATACGCGCAAGCTAATTATTGAAATAAAATTGAACCATATGTTAGTCCCGAAATAACCGAATCTTGTCGAGTGGACGTTAAACCCCATTTCTCTCTCTTTGATGCCGGAACAAAGTTCCGGTTCTAGCTATGACTTGCATCAACAGACCCTATACTAGCCTATTTCTTTTAGATTCACTATAATTAGATGAAAAAGGTTTGCTAATTGCAACTGTTACAATTATTATCCCATTCAATGATGTTATCAATGGCTACTCGTATTTTACTGAAAAGAAACAGTTGTTTGTGTTACGGTAAAAGGAAGTTGTTCAATAGACAAAATGGCGCCTACTGTTAGAATATGTCCATTATCCTCGTGATATACTGACACGTTCTCACGTAATGATTTATGTAAGTTAATAACCTAAAGAGGTCATTACACCCACCAGCCATTAGTACGTTAATGTTTATCAGGACCGGTCGGCCTTTAGGGAAATGAAATGAAATGAAATGGGGTTTAACGTCCTACTGTTCTGCTCCTATACTGGGCTAATGAAGACGGGCATATGCCATACAGTGTGCTATGAGGGAAATTTTGCCCGGGCAGCGGCACTATCGCCTACTCTTATATCGAATTCCAACTGCCAAGGGATCTTTTACGTGCATTCCAATGTATACACGGGACCTCGGTTTTTCGTCTCATCCGAAGGACTAGACAGCTGTCCTTGTCAGGCCCTCCATTCTGCACCACTGACAAGGGGAAACCATGTCGGAAAGGCCTTTAGGGAACAATCGTGATGGGTTTACTGTCGAGTTCTGTTTTAAGGAATGCTCCTCGATTGCCAGTCCGGGATATACAGAATTACAATCGAGTGACGTGTAATTGAATCCTGTTACAGTTCTCTCAGTCCGGATAACGGTGGTGGTGTGCCATGGTTGGTTGAGATATTTTCTTATTCAGACGGCGCATATGTTAGTCCCAAATCTCCCTTTTCACTCGATTGCCACTGTTTTTGGTGGTAATCGGATTAAAACACAGGTCCTATTTCGTTTCGTTTTTTATAGTTCAAAATTTCGTTTTACTTGTTTTTACTACACTAGGATCTGGAAGAGTTGTTATATACTCTTCACAAAAAGGTAGGGGATATTCAGAAATAATACAAAACTGTGGAAATGCACTGGTGTTTTTATTAGAGGTAACCAGTGTATGTTAATAACAGGCCAATTGCCTACACATGAACATAAACAGTTCATATGGGCGGTTTATCTGACGGCCCCATTTCACTCGCAAAGAGATACACTGTCAAAAGTGAAAATGGACGTTTTTGATTTTTGTCTTAATAATGAGTAATTGCTCCACCAATCCTCAGACATTCAGCAATTCGTCGTGGCATTCTCCTAATCAACCGTCCAATCACGATTTGGGGCAATCTGAACCACTTCTCTTGCAGTGTTGTCGCTTGACGTTGACGTCGACGAATACGTCGCCCGATCAAATTAAACGTAACACACTAAAGCAAAGATACGCTAAACAGTAAATCTTATGCAAGAACCGATAGGAAAGCAAACATGGATGGGATAAACCAGCAAGCGGCAGTTTTCATCAACCCTTCCTTGAAGTGTCAAATTGACAATGAACCCTTCCCACGTGTATGGCGCTATTTCTTGTTGATGTGAGGGATTAGCCAATGAAGCGGTCTGTTACGGCGAATTCTTGGCCTTTTTATGCACGGAACTGTGGGTAAACCACTAGAAACGTCAACGCCGATTGATTAATCAATGTCTGACGTCATAGGTCAAGAGCCGCTCGTTTGACCCCTGACGTGAACTCCCACTATAACTGCCAGATCGTCATGTAGTGAAGGCCATCGGAAGTATAAAAAAAAAAAACGAAACGATATATAGATCTGTATTTTAATCAGATTGTTTTTGGGGTTGAGAGAATTCAATTCCGGAACCTTCAATCGAGTATCCCTTTAGTGAAACGGTTTGTTAAAATTGACCCGAAATGACTACTTCTGACTTCAAAAGTGTTTTCACAGGAAGGCTCCTCGATTGCCAGTCCGGGATAAACAGAATTACAATCGAGTGACGTTTAATTGAGTTAGGATTAGGGCTTGGATTAGCGCTAGCCCTGTTTACACCTCGTGATCTATGACGATAAATTGAGCTGGCCTTATCATTTAGCACTAACCTATGGAGGGGTGCGGGAGCGGCAACAATATAGGACTATTATTTTCTAAGGGCGGTAACTTCTCTTGACTGAACTGGACTCAAGACTAGCAATTATTTGCCAATAGATTTCAATGTTAAATGGCTGTAACATCACAGGCTGTAGCTATTTGTTCCAATCCTTATTGGCACAATGGGGACCACATTTGGCAATATCCTCATCATAAATTTGTAGGGGGTTGACCATTTAGATTTTTTGCTACGGGGATTTGATGTTGACAGGGGTGAAAATCTCACTTCCGACAATGATTGCTCTGCAGAAAGACACTTTACCAGTGCCGGACTGGTGGGCCGAAGGCCCACACAAACCGCAAACCCATTTTCCAAGCATTTCAGACCAAAGCAGAAGAAGGCAAATTGTTTATTTCCTGATACAATTAGATAACAGAATGACCTAAGAGCACTATCATTAGGAAAGAAGGAAGGAGAGGACAGGACACAACCCGTGCCCTGTCCTGTCCTCTCCTTCTTTCTTTTCTTTCCTCCACCTGTCATTTCTTTCTCTTTTTTTTTTGCTTGTTTTTTCTTTCTCTTTTTTCTTTATAGGCTTAGGCCCACTTTTTTTTAATGAGCTTAGGCCCACCTGTCACGGACAGGTGGACAGGTGGGCCCAGTCCGACACTGCTTTACACCCCCTATCCCTCCTCTGTAATATCATCAGTATTACCCAAAACTGCTATGAAATTGCAAATTTGATCCCTTTTCTCCAATTCTAGACCAAAAGGTCAACCCAAAAATGCAGGAAGAGGGGAGAAAAAAATTAAGGGACAAAATTATCTATTTATAACTGGCACTACATTCGTCCATCATGAAATAAGGGGTAGTCTGCAGTTTAAACAAATCTGTTGTTATCTAATAAACAAACATATATGCAATGCCCTGGCCAAAGATTATGAAAATCTATGCATTTTCAGATGAGCTGTGCGGCATTCTGCAAACGCTATAATACATCAGAAAACTGCGGAAATTCAGACAGAAATTTAAAAGCACATGAATTTTGAATTAAACAGAACATTTTTATTTTTGAACATAAATGCATTCTGTAAAATAATTACTAGTCTTAGTCCAACTACAAACTATAGACGGCCATTTGGGTTTATTCTCGTGTAAATTCGCTAGAGCAATCTGACCACAGCCAGTATAAGCGCTGATATAAACTGATCTGAATTGAATAGTAAGGCAACTTTTAACATATGTCTCTAGAAGATGAGTGAGTGGTAGCGAGTATACGTCTTAGGTACAAGAATAACTGGGTGTACACTGTCTTTGTGTTCAACAGATACAAGCATGATGTAAACGCCGTGAACAAATTTGTTGGGGAAACTTTTAACCCATTTCCCAGGAACCGGTAGCGAGCCTACGCCTGGGTACGATAATGACTGGGATACTGCTTTTGTGTTCAAGAGGTTGTGAACAGGCGTTAACACTGTATGGCATCATTATACGCCATTGCTGGGAGATGTGTGCATGGTAGCGACTTTACGCCTGGGTACAAGGACTGGACGTACACTACCTTTGTGTTCAACACTCATTACATAATGACAAACAAAGTACTTTACTAAAGATAACTCTATTTATTACTGGAAACATCCACAATAATAAAACCACATATACATATTCACAAACATTCAACATTCTTCTGAACATAGTTTATCTTATCGATATTAATACAGCCAAACAGTTCGATTTCAACTTAATATAAAAATAAGTACAATAACAATATGTTAGCTAGGTGGTATCAGATGTTAGAGACAGGGTAAGCATATCCTGCCGTTCACATGAACCCGTCACTAAATAGAAGGATAGGGTAGCTTGATATTTTAATCGAAAAAGACAATCAATAGATAAATTGGGAACACTCAAAGCTGCATCAGACCCAATCGCACACAGTCGCATTGTATCGCAAGGACGACATCGGCACCTCTTTAAGTTGCTACTATTGTTAAATACTATTGATAATGATAAAGAAAGCAATAACGTTATGTTTAGTGAAATATACAACGTTATAATCCCCATGATAAGTGAAATATACAACGTTATAATTCCCATGTTTAGTGAAATATACAACGTTATAATCCCCATTAGTGAAATATACAACGTTATACTCCCCATGTTTAGTGAAATATACAACGTTATAATCCCCATGTTTAGTGAAATATACAACGTTATAATCCCCATGTTTAGTGAAATATACAACGTTATAATCCCCGTGTTGAGTGAAATATACAACGGATTATGATTTAGGTTATCAATTTGTATAAAGAACGGCACATATATATCACAAATAGTACAAATAAATTCATGCACACGTGACAAAACAAAACGACAGTCTGTCGCATGAAATTATAAAATATGGTGAAATGAAGCTTTGATGCAATATTTAGTGTTTTAATTAAATGGAGCAGGTCCACAAAATACAGATCTATATTTCGTTTCGTTTTTTATATACTTTCCATGGCCTACACTACCAGTTGTAGTGGGAGGTCGCGTCAGAGGTCATACGAGCGGAATTTGGCCCTATTACGTCAGGCATTGATAGATCAATTAGCGTTGACGTTTCTAGGGGTTTACCCACAGTTCCTCATCAACTAGAACGCCTGTTCTATAACAACTCTTCCAGATCCTATTGTTGTGAAGACAATTTAAGTAAAACGAAATTTTAAATTATAAAAAACGAAACGAAATAGTATCTGTGTTTTAATCAGACTGGAATTTTTAATAGGTGTTCAGGAAGAACAAGAATTCAATTCCACGTGGCCTTAATGGTGGGCAGGATTTAAATAATTAAATTACATGACAAGTGAAATAAACACAGTGAACTATTATAAAATTTATGATAAACTGCATTTGTTCAAACAATTATAATACAAGTTAGTTCCGAAGAAGACGTCAGATTTTTTTTTCTAAATTTTATTGACTGTAAGAGTAACTTTGACTACAATTTGCAGTTTGTAATTAAAACAGGCCAAGGTTATATAAATAAAATTCAAAATTTGAGTGGAATTCAAGGAGGTCGATCTATGGATATCGGGCCTTAGAATTTGAGTGGAAAGTTTTAGGGACGTAAACAATGATGTCGATATAATCGTTTTCATGCAATACACGAACTTAAAAGTTTATTTTGTCAATCAATTCAAAGAACTTATGTCCCTTTAATTTGATAAAAGACTTGTGAGTTACTTCACCTTAGTTTTACCGTTTGTTGTTATTTTTGTTTCCCGATAGAGGGGGCTAAAGACTGTATCAAATACTAGCAACAGTGGTATAATTAGATACGGACTATAAATAGCCAGTAGAAACAAACGTTCGTTCATATTTCTTGGCGCTGGATGGTTGTAGCCCCTAAAATCTCCAAACAGAATTTCAAAGGCAATGCAGAATACGGTGGTGGCGGTATGACTGCCATATAACATCAGCGGGATTCGACTCCATTTACATTTCTCAACACCTGCAAATATAAATAGACCCTTACTATTTACAACGTTTTCAAGGACTAAACTGATTTTTGAAACACGGAAGTTCAATGAAATGAAATGGGGTTTAACGTTACGTCCTACGTTTCTGCACCGACTGGACTAATGAATCCAGGCTTACACCGACTGGACTAATGAATCCAGGCTTACACCGACTGGACTAATGAATCTAGGCTTACACCGACTGGACTAATGAATCCAGGCTTACACCGACTGGACTAATGAATCCAGGCTTACACCAACTGGACTAATGAAGACGGTCAAACGCCATACAGTGTGCTATGAGGATTCACTAAAAATGAAACCAAAAACATAACAGAATCGAAAAACCCAACATTAATGGCGTCAACACAAGTAAGGAGAGAGAGAATGGGTTTAACGTCCACCCGAAACAAACTAAGTCATTTCGGGACTAACACATGGTTCAATTTTATTTCTTTAGCAGTGGGGGGAAACCGGAGGACCCGGAGAAAATCAACACAAGTCAGTGTGTGTGAAATAACTTAATAACTTTATGTAATGTCCTCTTTAATCATTATCGGATATACGGGGGTGGGGAGAGGCATATTTCTGAAGCAATGGCCCGAGAAATCCCTCTCTGGCCATTGCTGGATTGCCTGCTCATACTTGAGCTTTTTGAGGGAGTGTGTCTATTCTCTCCGTTCACGAAAATATATCCTAAGTACAGCAACATGACACCCCCATCGTTTAATCTAGGGTCTTCCCTCAAACTTTGGACAGTGATTTAAGGTATTAAAACGGCGAAAGTATGTTTACATTGTAGCTGTTTTGATAGCCTTGCTTGTCACGAAATTAATTTTTCTGCAATATTCTGCCATGCACTGGTTAATAAATTTCATGGGTCATGACGTAACATTACGTAAACATCTGGAGCTTTGTTTAAACCCGAATTATTTTGTTACTCAGTTAGGTATTGGTGGTTGTTAAGAGGGGTTGGATGGCCGAATGGTTAGCACGTGCGCGCTGTATCATAAAAGTCTGTCATTGAGTCAACTGGCGTGGTTTCGATTCCCCGGTTGTACGTGACAAGGAGTAGGGTTGCCTGTCCAACCTCGTGGTTTTTCTCCTACCGGGTCCTCCGGTTTCCCCCACTGCTAAAGACCCCTACGCGCAAGTGAATTATTGTAATAAAATTGAACCATGGGTTAGTCCCGAAATGACCAAGTTTGTGTCGAGTGGACGTCAAACCCCATCTCTCTCTCTTTCAAATACTCGTAACGGTTAGGTAACTCTCTCTCTCTCTCTCTCTCTCTCTCTCCCGTTGATTGTTAATCGGACTATTGACGCCATGCAATGTACTAAGTGGAAGATTTTGCCCGGACAGCGGATCTACGGCCTATTCTTATTTCGAATTCCAACTGTCAAGGATTCTTTTACGTGCACGCCAATGTGTGTTTTCGTCCCATATGAACGACTGGACAGCTGTCCTTGTCAGGCCCTACGTCCCGCACCACTGACATTTCACAAAACCGGGCCAAAAAATCCCGGGGAACTTTCTCGGCCAACACCGACAGTGAACTCGAGACCTTCGATTAGCAATGTGGTATCTTACTCACTGAGCCACCAGGGCTTAAAAATCACACAGCATACCAACCTTCATGTTTCTGAAGCAACGACTGCGAGTTTTACAACATCTGGACGTTGCTTGTTTACTTCACAATTCCCGAACTTATAGCTACATTATCTACAGACACGTGAGCAGTAGCGTCCAAACAGAGTTTGTGACATCGCGACCTCCACGGAAACCTTGACATTGAATGAATCTTTGCAACTCGATTATCACAAGTAGACATTTTAGCTTGAAAGCGAGAGACTTGGTATTCGCGACGATCGAGGAATTTGATAGGCTCACAAGCTGGGCTTGTACTCAAACGAAATTAGTGCCGAAATATGCAGGGTATTACGTAAAGGCCTTGATAAGATGTACGTAGTTAAAGCGAGATCAAGCCTTCTATTGAAGTTGACTAACCTTTATAAAAGACGTAAACCCCCAGGAAGAAACACACTAGTTGAATGGTGATTTCACAAAAACAGAATGATATAAACCAGGGTTTTGGATCCCCCATTAACGGATCTCGAGCCGCATGTGTATACCATTCTTTTAACTCCACACACTGAAATAAATAAAAAAAGGAATGAATGAAACTAGTCTAAACCAAAGCCTCTCGGGCCTTCCTCAACTGATTTCCGTTTTTAAAAATAAACGTCAAATAGACGATGTAGTCCAAATGTACAACAAAAACGTGCACGCACTGAAATTACTCTAGATTAAAATCCAATGCGTGTATAAGAGGAAGCAGGAGGCATTGAACCATGCCCCACGCCACAACTTGGTCGTCAGTATGTATTTTCTTTAAAGATGGGTTCCCAGAAAAGTATTTATCGGGTGGTTATTTCCAATAAAAGTATGGCAATTTTGGTATATATATGGAAAGTAGAGATATCCAATCTTACTAGAAAAATACTGGATTCCCCGAAAAACACTCATGGAGCGTATACAGGACAAAAATATAAGGGTTCCCCTAATCGACAGCCCGACGATTAGGAATTTCTGCACGCGTGATGTCAAAGGTCACACACGAACATTGAGCGCTTGATGTACAAGTTGATAAACTTTATGAAGAGTTAGACGTACAACACTCTCTGAGATAAAAATGATGGAAAAAGACGCGGGTAGTGGATACTCCGAGAATTTAATTAGGATTCGATATTTGTAATACATAGTAAGCGATTAAAGACAACATGGTCTTATGTATGCAATGAATTCTCCTCTGACGTAACCATGACGTGACGTAACCATGACCTGGTTTGATCGAATTTTTATAGCAGGGCATTCCTTCGCAATTACAATGTTTGAGAAGGATTTGAAGCAAAATTATGACAAATTAATTAGATTGAATATGTTTTTAGTCCATATATACCATTAAATCACCCAGTTTGTACGCGGGAATGTATCTTTAACAGACATGACCGTTTATTGAAATCATTTTAAATTAAATAATAGCGGATTACTCTGATATTTATCCCTAATAATTGTGGATACGCCACAATCTGATTAAAATACTTTTATACTTTCGATGGCCTACACTACATGAAGATCTGACCAGTTGTAGTGGAAGGTCGCGCCAGGAGTCATACGGACAGCTTTTGGCCCTATGACGTCAGATATTGATTAATTAATCAGTGTTGAGGTTTCTAGGGGTTTACCCACAGTTCCGTCCAGAGCACGCCAAGAACTCGCCGTAACAGACCGTTTCATTGGCTCATACCTCACATCAACTGGAACGCCTGTTAAATAACAACTCTTCCAGACCCTACTGTAGTAAAGACAATTAAACGAAATTTTTAACTATAAAAAACGAAACGAAATAGGATTTGTGTGTGTTTTCATCAGATTGGATACGCCACAGAACTTTAAAACTAAAACCAAAAAAGATATGATGCAAACATTAATAACACCTGTTCACGATGAAAAAAAAAATAAAATAAAAAATAAATAAATACAGTGCAATAAAATTCAACAGCAATATACCAATAAAGAAATGTGACAAAATAAAATGTGTAAAAACTGTATAGAAAAATCGACTGAGTCATTGTTAACGACCGAACTTTACCACTTAACCGTTGTCTAGCAATGATCTACTATAAAAACTTACTGCTTTGGGAAACATCCATTTTGGAAACATGGCTTGCATGTCAACGAAAAATGTGATTGAAATATGTGAGGCAAAGTATGAAAAAAATATAATATCTAATATTCTCGCCATTTTCTCCCAATTTCCCACTTATCAACATTCAACAGTAGCTAAATACACAACAGTTAAAGTCCGATCACGCCATCTATTAATAGTCACCGGTCACATGACGTGTAGTTTAGTAATCTTTAAGTTAAAGAGAGTGGGCCATTGTGCGTTGACTAGGGACAAGAGTTCAAGGCTGCGAATCTTGCTGATAACAAGCTTAAAATTGTGTACCCCGACATAAATTCCTGCCTCGTCGTATTAACAAGACAGTAACAGCGAATTAGCCTGTAAAAATGGCACGCTCATTCAATTACTTACCCGGTTTTCCCCCAATACGTCTCTATTTTTCAAGAAGTTCATTTGAAAAGAATTTTGAAATTTTTGATTGCAATGCGGAACATTTGCGTGCACGACAATATGTACACAGGACCCCGAGTTTTCGTTTCATCATAACGACTAGACATGCTTATACTTGCCAGACTGCCGCTCTGGATCATCACCTAGGGGACAGAACGCTGGGAAATCACAGAAATCTCGTGGTGGCCGGCGAAGCCAATCACCTGTAGGCGCCAAACTATCAAATAATACCGCAAACACCAAATATGTCACAAGTATAACTTTTTATTTCGAAGTTTAAATTTTACATTGTTGCCACATGAGAATTATACGATTCTCGATTATTATCAAAGAAAAATATATTTAAAAAAAACAATATTTGATTAAACATACATGATGCAAGAGTTAAATCTGCCTATTGCAGGTTTTTTTTTTAGGCTTGAAATGTTATCTAAATTATTAATTAGACATTAATTAACTTATCCAGACCATAATCAACTCTCGATGGCATCGGATACTCGAGATTTTAACTAGATTAGAACGGTTCGGCATTTAAAAAAATAATTTAAAAATGGGAAAGCAATCTAAGTCTCGAATATACCAGTGCCCAGGGGCGGATTGGGGCCGGAAACCGGCCCGGGCTCCCGTGTCGGGGCGGCCCCTTTCACTGACCGCGGAAAATTGTGAAAAATGAACCCCAAATATGCGATTTGTTGGCATATCTGATTATAATCACTGTCAAATAATATGTGTCACTGTCTCATAAATCGATTAATTTAGGCCAAAACCCCGACCTGCAAGTAATTTACAACCATCAACCTGTGAAATTATCATATCGTCATATTATTAATTAACGTATTATCATTGTATCGTCAAGAGTCAAGAGAATTTAACTGGTTAATAAATGGGACTAGTTAAGAAAAATTTGACCATTTGATTAACCAGTTAGGAATATTGAATAAGTAGGAATATTTTCATTGAAAAATGTGCCATTTTTGTTGCCGGGAGCGCTAGTTGATTCCTCCTGTGATGGAAGGCCACGAGACACATTGGTACAGAGTGACTAAAGTGAAATTCATGAAAGCTGCTTTTTGAATTTTGGATTGTTTGTTCCAGGTAAATTATTTTACCTTGACTCCGAACTTGACATTTCTGGCGTATCCCCAAAAACAGGGTGCAGGTGACTTAATAACTAGTAAAAGTCGGGTGAATCCGATGAAATTTTCGGATGAAATTCGGAATCCCCAGCACACCCGGCCCAGAAAGTCTATTATACCAGCCCATTCCAGACTCCAGTGATGGCGTGGCGGCCCTTTAAAGCCACCGGCCACATACAACATGATCATCATCGCTCCATGGCCGGTCGAATACCCCCCTCCCCCACCATATAATGTTCAGCAGAAAAAGTTTTTTTTAGACGATTTGGACAAAATTATTTTTTTCATTTTTTGTCCGACCGGCCCAATGGCCCAATCCGCCCCTGCCAGTGCCCTGTTTACCATTATGCACACATCTTGTCAAGACTACAACTAGTGATAACTTGGCTCAGAATGAAGTAATTTGAATGAAATATTCAATATTTTCATTTTACATTATCTATTTTTGAGCTGTTATAGCAAGAATGGTCAGTCAGCTCTTTATCTAAATCTTACAGAACGTACCTCTAAGCAGTCATTTAAAAAAAATATTAATCTATTTTTATGTAATAATAATCTATTTTTAAGAAATCTATTTTTATGAAATAATAATCCATTTTTTATGAAATAATAATCTATTTTTATGAAATAATAATCTTTTTTTATGAAATAATAAACTATTTTTATGAAATAATAATCTATTTTTATGAAATAATTTATCTCTAAAAATAATAATCTATTTTTATGAAATAATAATCTATCTCTGAAAATAATAATACATTTTTATGAGATAAATAAAATAAAAAGAGATGTAAAGTATGTGAATAAAAAAAAGCTCCCCGAAAATGTTTTGTTTCCTTAAAAAAATTATTTTTAAAAAATTCATTTCATTTTAATAACTGAATATTATTCTATCCACTGTACTTTTTTAAAATGTATTTTTTTTTCCATTTTAAAATAATAAATGAAATGAAATTTCTCATTGATATCATTGACATAATCCCCAGTTGGCAATCATGGACCACCATACACAAACATACTTTATTGGTTTTTAACGAGACCTTGGATTTTATTTTAGGACAGATTATTCACGAGCAAATCTGCCTAATCGGAACTTTTCGTTTGGCTTCAAATGTTAAATAAATCATTAATTAGACATTTATTTATAAGCTAGGTCCATAATCAACCCTCTAGAACTTCGGATGGTTTTGATTTTCAACAGATTTGAATTTAAAAATGAATAATCGAGACTTATGTTTATTATCGTAACATCTATAGCAATGACAATCGAGGCTAAACTGTTCTGTAAACGACGATAACTCCGCCCAGAATGAAGTAATTTGACTGAAATTTTCAACATATAATATTATGTATTGTTTTAACTACACGTATTATAGCGAGAACTGACAGCTCTTTATCTAATCTCCGGCCTTTTTATCTTACCCAATGTCCCTTTAATTTGACTGTTATAACATGAACTACGTTTGATTGAAGAGGGCGGTATATACTTTATAAATAAACTAATCGACATCGTGACGAGGAAAAACCCTACAAGTTATTTCTCATGATTTTGAGAAAAAACACCAAAACATTTTGCATTCTTATCTGGTAATATATTTTACAAATCTTGTTAGAAATTCTAATGGTCTTTCTTAAAGTTCAATGTATATTGTTTCTCCATGCTATGTTTTGACCTGCAGGTTCCTCTGCATTGTAGAATATAATTGAGTGAATTTATAGTTTTTTCATGCTATAAACCGTTTAGTATTTGGTTGTTTGAGCACTTTATAGACCAAGTGTCTGCATCAATCGGGGGGTCACGGTGGCTAAGTGGGTAAGACGCTGGCTCGCTAGCCTGGAGGTCGGGTGTTCGATCCCTGCATTGACCGACAAAATTTATCCAGATTTTCCGGTGTGGTTCCCCTTTCTCAGTGATGCAGGACGGAGGGCCCGACAAGGACAGCTGTCTAGTCGTGCGGATGGGACAGAAAACCGAGGTCCCGTGTACACACTGACGTGCATGATATTGAGTTAGAGACTTAGTTACTTGACTCAATGACATACCTTATGACATACCTTATGACGCCTTATGACATACCTTATGACATACCTTAAAGGAGCTAAGTCGCTAATATTTTGGACCTAGAAATTGACACAAATGGGTCGCAACGCATACAGTAATGTAATATGAATGTATATAAATTGATTTACATTCAATCGTTTCAGTTTTTACTGTAATTTTTAATCAGTTAGGTTCGGCGAAATATGCCAGTATTCTCAATCGAATTTCAATCTCTAGCGTCTGGTTATAATTCCAGTCTACGCCGATATTATTTATTGGGCTTGCTCTCCAGATAAGAATATAGCGTCACCGTTTGACATGACTTGTGGAATATGCCTAGCCTCGTTTTTCGAGTCCCTTATTAGAAATAGCGCTAAAACGCATTGTGGTACACGATTCGTGTACCAATTGTAAAATGTTTATTCTGTCTTAAATATTGGATATCAGAAGGCCATTTTTTCCCGGTAAGATCACAACATCAATGTTGATTTAAACCGACAAATAAATCGTGTTTTCAATGTCGAAGATTTTGGATGATATTGAGTTAGAGACTTAGTTACTTTAACCATTCGGCCACACAATCCCCGTCGACGTCATGTGTTATGACACGAGCAGGAATACCATGCCCCGTGTACACCACCCTTTGTTTTAAATAACTCCTTAAAACGTGTCTTTTGCTTATAAAGAATGTATTGTCCCGTTAAAGATTTGACCTTTCTTGCAAGAACAACCATTGTAAAACTTACTGATGTTATACTAATAAAAAAAAACAAAAACAAAAAACAAAAAAACAAAAACAAATTGTAATGCATATACTTACTATTTTAGGAAAGAATATTTTCGGAATAATTCCTTGTGAATTCAGAAAGAACGTGAAAGGAATATGTGATGCAAAATATAAAAAGAACGCGATATCGAGAATCCTAGCCATCGTGTCTGTGCGTAATAACATATAATACTACAGATCTATAACGGCCCACTTATTTATAGTAACAAAATTATACACCCACACTATTAATAACAGAACTATAACGACCTCTATATCTTATTGTTTAACAGTGTTCATAAAGAAAATTTCAGAGTGATATAAAATCTGCAGGTATAAATATTGTCGAAGTAGGTTAAGAAAAATAAATAAATAAAACTATTAGTATCATGTAAAACGAATTAAAGAGACATTTTTTTTTTGGTATTGACATTACAATACGGTATAGATTAAAATAATATGACGTACGATTCAACATGTCATTAGTCCCATGGCGATGTATCAGATTAAAGTCTACAAATAGTTATACTAATCTGTATAAATAAAAATATAGCAAATTATACATCATATCACAATTAATATGACGTTAGAATATTCATGACGTTAAAACATTAAGTTAAAAAAAAAAAACCCCATTCGAGACATAGATTATGACGTTAATGTTAGAATATATAACTTATAGAGTAGATATGACGTTATAGAGTATATCTGACGATATAGAGTAGATCTGGCATTATACGGTATATCTGACGTTATAGATATATATGACTTTATAGAATGACGTTTGACGTTATAGAATATATATGACTTTATAGAA